GGGCCTCCTGCTGCTGCTGCGCCGCCGGAGCATGATTTCTGTTCTCACCCTGAAGCAAAGTTCTTAACCTGAAGCACTATTTCTGGGTTAGCGGAGTCTGTAACCTGAAGCGTATGTAACCTGAAGCGTATGCAACACGAGGTACCACTGTCCTACTTAGAATCATAGAGTTGGAAAGGACCCGAGGATATTCTAGTCCAACCCACTGCAATGCAGGAATACGCAGCTGTCCCATACCAGAATTGAACCTGCAACCTGAGCATTATCAGCACCATGCTCTATCCAGTCTTCAGTGCATGTGTTGTGGGAGATTGATGATTGGCACTCACAACAGTTTTTTTACTTCCATTGAAAGCAGCTAGAGGAGCAGGGAGGGGTGGGATCTGTGCCATTTGCTGGGGGAGAGGACTTAGCTCCTCCCCCCAGTGCTGTTTTTCCAACTTTGACTCATCCCCCTGAAGCAGCTATAGAAAGGGCCAAAAGACAGGTACAATGTTAATAGCAGCTGTATTCAAATCAGGGAGCCAGCACAGAGGGGAAAGGGTTAAACCCATCCTACTCCAGCCGCACAGCCCTGATCTAAATGGGTCCCGTCCCCCCCGCTGCCTCTAGTGACAGTCTAGTGACAAATTTGCGACATCCCTGAAAGTTTGGCCCAAACATTGCTGTGCTTTAATTGCTGAGAAATGCTGTGCAGATTTCAGGGCGAAGCGGCGTCTTCCTTTCTTCAGTTCCTTCTTCCCCTCACACCCATCCTGTGGGCTCTGCTGAGAAATGCCATCTCACGCCCTGCATGATCTCAGGGCCAAGGCTAGGGGCAGGGAAGCTTTTTCAGTCAGAGGGCCACATTCCCTTTCCAGCAACCTTCTGAGGGCCATGTGCTGGTGGCAGTGGATGCGGCCAGAGGCAAAAGGAGCCAGAGTCACAAATGCGAATTCTACCTTTTGTACAGCAGGCTGGTTTCTACACATACTCTCGCCTCCCTCGCGCCCTTCAACTGTCCTGATAAAAATGGGACGTCCCATTTTTCCTTGTGAGGGCACGGCAGCCGTTTGAGGTGCTGTTATCTCACGTGATTTCCCCCTGAAAAAAACACTTTTTTTAAGGCGGAATCGCGGGGTGGAATTGCACAAAATCATGGCACCCAAAATATCTTGCTGTGCTCTCACAAGAAAAAACAGGGAGATGGCGTCCTGGTTTTTCCCTTTGACATGTTGGAGGGGATGGATGCTCCCTCTCCATCCTGGCAAGTTCAAGGACACATTTTCAGGCAAACGTAAACACTCAACGAGGGCGTGAAGTAAGACCAGGAAAGGGTGCAGCCTGGGGAAAAGGGTGTGGGAAGAGTCCCAAGGGCCAGAGAGAGGGTCACCAAGGGCCGTGTTATGCCCCTGGGCCAGTGGCTTCCGTCCCCCCCCCCCCATTTCCCATATATCTGCATGTAGCTTTATATTTGCAGCTGGAGTTGTGTCTTCCCCATAAAGGGTGCAGGAACTTCTAGCGCAGCGGTTCTCAACCTGTGGGTGCCCAGATGTTGTTGGACTACAACTCCCATCATCCCTGAGCTCTGGCCTTGCTAGCTAAGGGTGATGGGAGTTGTAGTTCAACAACATCTGGGGACCCACAGATTGAGAAAGGCTGTGTGGGTCTGCATGTCTGGAGAGCTCTCTCTCTCTCTCTCTCTGATCCTGGAGGGGTGGGGGAGAAAATCTCCGCTTGCTCTTTAAGATGCTGCCTCGGCAGAGCTCCCAAACCCCTTGGCTTACTGCCAGCCCCCTGCACAGCCCTGTGGAGGTTCCCCCCCTGCCCCCCACCACTGACACCTCCTGGCTACGTATTCCAATCTGTTTGCTGAGCTTCTCTTCCGAGCCCCAGGGTCTGCCTCTGCCGTTGCCAGGGAAGTTGCAGAGCCCTGTGTATTCCTCCACTTCCCCTTTTGGGTCTCTTTCCCAATGAGCATGCTGCAGGGGAAGGGCCCTAGCTCAGTGGGAGAGCACTGGCCTTGCATGCGGAAGGTCCCAGGTTCAATCCCCCGGCGTCTCCAGGTAGGACTGGGAGAGAGCGAGTCCTGCCTGTAAGCCTGGATTGCTGCTGCCGGCTTGTGTAGGTAGTATACTGAGCTAGATGGACCAGGGATTTGACTCTGCAGAGGGAAGGGCTGCAGCTGTATGGGAGAGAATCTGCTTTGCGTGCAAAGGTCTTAATCCCCGGCGTCGCCAGGTAGGACTGAGACAGATCCCTTTCTGAAATCCTGGGGTGGGAGCACAGCCCTGTCAGGGCAGGCCATTGGTCTCCAGCTGTTGGAGTCAGAATCCGCAAATGGGTCGCAAGAGCAGCACTACCGCTGTGCAATGATATGGTAAGCAATTAAAAACTGGCTCTCCATATGCACGTTTGGGGCTAAAAGTGGGCCTGAAAAGGTTGGAGGGTGGCTAGCATAACCAACATTGAGCTAGTTGTAGCAAAGGTCTGACTCAGTAGAGCAAAGATGTCATCACTGCATGGTAGAGCATCTGCTGGAGGTCCCAGTTTCGATCTCTAGGGGCTCCTGGCAGGGCTGGAATAAATCCCTGCCTTTAACTTTGGAGAGCCACTGCCAGTCAGTGTAGACAATACTGAGCTAGATGGGCTATTGATTTGACTCAGTATAAGGCAGCTTCCTATGTTGCTAGAGAGAAGCGCAGTGGTCGTGTTTTTATTTTGCATGCAGTGGCCCCAGGTTCCGTCTATGGCAGCCATAGGCAAACTCGGCCCTCCAGATGTTTTGGGACTACAACTCCCATCATCCCTAGTCAGGGATGATGGGAGTTGTAGTCCCAAAACATCTGGAGGGCTGAGTTTGCCTATTCCTAGTCTACGGCATCTCCCAGTAGTCCTGGAGAGCTTCTGCCAGTCAGTGTAAACAGTACTAAGCTAGATGGGTTTAGTACTATGTCCGTACTATCTCAGTCAGTAGAGCATGAGACTCTGAATCTTAGGGTTGTGGGTTCGAGCCCCACGTTGGGCAAAAAGATTCCTGCATTGCAGGGAGATGACCCCTTTGGTCCTTTCCAACTCCATAAGGTTTCGATTCTGTGAACTTGGCTGTGGTTGAGGCCCTGCTGCAGTGCAGTTGTCAGGTGGTCTCAAGGCCTTTCCCCCTCACCCTATGGCTAGGGGGCAAATAGAGAGCCCTTCCTTGCAAAGTTCCCCTGGTAGTTTTGGAGGTTCTCTGGAAGTGAGATAAAAGAAGCAGAGGGACTGCATCCGATACTAGGCCTACTCAGAGCAGACACATTGAAATCAGTGGAACTGAAACACGATTTGCTCTCTCTCCTCGGGTCTCATGCAAACCTAAGTATTGGAGGTGGTGGGGAAAGAACATAAGAAGATCCTGTTGGATCAGGCCAATGGCTCACCTAGTCCAGCATCCTGTTCTCACAGACGCCACCCAGATGCCTTTGAGATACCCTCAAGCAGGACCTGAGCACAAGAGCCCTCTCCCCTCCTGTGATTTCCAGCAACTGGTATTAAGAAGAATTTTCGCCTCTTTCCATGGAGCAGAGGCTGGTAGCTCTTGGTAGCTCTTTCCTCCCTGAATTTGTGCAATCCTCTTTTAAAGCCATCCAAGTTAGTGGCCATCAATACATGCTCTGTGAAGGACTTTCTTTCATCTATTCTGAATCTTCTAACTTCATTGGATGTCCACAAGTGTTACGAGAGAGTGAGAAAAACTTGACCCGTTCCTTCATGCCATTTTATATGCCCCTGTCATGTCCCCTCTTACTAGCCTTTTCTCTAAACTAAAATGTCCCAGATGCTGCAAACAGACCTTGTAGTGGGGAAGAGAATATAAAGAAGAGCCCTGCTGGATACAGACCAAAGTCCAGAGCCCCTGATTCCTATGCCTGCCAACCTGATGCCTTTGGGAAGCCTATGAGAAGGGCAAGAAGGCCTTTTCCAGCTGTTGCTCCCACTAGCAGGTATTCAGAAATAGACTACCCCTGAACATGGAGGTTCCCTATTGCCATTGTGTCCAGCAGCCATCAACATGTAGCCTCAACCTCCTCCTCCTCCGTGAATTTGAATCCCTTTGAACAGCATTTCAGCTGGCGGCCATCACCTCGTATTGTGGCCTTGAGTACCGTAGGTGAACATAGGAAGAGTAGGCAGCCCAGGCTCAGCGTTGGGCTCCCTGTCTCCTTGAAAGCTGCACCACTGCTTCTTTTAGGACAGTGGTTCCCAAATACCTCACACATACGGACCACAGGCGGTCTTGTCGGGCCTCTTTATTATTTGCCTGCAATGTGCTGTGTGATGTTTAATTGTATCCATGTTGCTTCTTTTGTTTCTTGCATTGTATTCGTTCTGCCCGGACACTGAGGTCCAGGGCCTTCTGGCGATTCCCTCACTACGAGAAGCCAAGTTACAGGGAACTAGGCAGAGGGCCTTCTCAGTAGTGGCACCCACGCCCTCCCATCAGATGTCAAAGAGAAAAATAACTACCAAACTTTTAGAAGACATCTGAAGACAGCCCTGTTTAGGGAAGCTTTTAATGTTTAATAGGTTATTGTATTTTAGTGTTTTGTTGGAAGGCGCCCAGAGTAGCTGGGGAAACCCAGCCAGATGGGCGGGGTATAAATTATTATTATTATTATTATTATTATTATTATTATTCCAATTTGCGTTGTAGTGCAAAAAAATACAATATAGGAAATAAAAGAAAGTATTTGGAATACAGTTAGAAATAAATATGAATATTTGCTGTGGACAAGCCATGGACTGCCTGAATGAAGCTCACAGACCACTGGTGGCTCACAGACCCCTCTGTTTTGAGGGACTGAGAGAAATAAAGCAGTTTGGTCAGTTAAACTGACTTTCTGTTCTGCGCACAATACTCATTCTCAGAAGTACAGCAGGGCAACCGGATCAAGAAGAAGGGGAAGAGTAAGTCGCGTGGAGGAACTCCTGTCCCACCTGGAGTATCTGGTTCAGGTTTCCCTTCTCTCTTCCGCTTTCAGAGAGTAGCCCTGAGCCTCAGCGGAGGAGCATGGAGGAGCAGCCGGCAAGAGAGCAGCTATCCCGGGATGGCCCTTCCGTTAGCACAGGAGACCAGAAGCTCTTTGGCTATGTGGGGATCGAGGCCGTGATGGACCAGATGCGGATCAAGACCATGAAGACCGGCTTCGAATTCAACATCATGGTTGTAGGTGAGTAGCAGGTGCTGTGGGCCACCCTCAGGCTTCGTCAGATGGGAAGGCCTGGCGTCGGGGTGATACAGGGCTTAATTCCTAGAGATATATGCCAGAGCTTCTTTCTCCTTAGAAGAGCCTCCCTGTACTCTGGAAGTCTTTAAAACACACACAGGGAGGGAGGGAGGGAGGGAGGGAGGGAGAGAGAGAGAGAGAGAGGGAGAGAGAGAGGTGCATATTTAGAAATAATTATCACCCTTTAAATAGAAATGCAATGCATTTCATCTTAGCAGGGAAGACTGCGATCAGGGAACCTTTGCAATTGCTAAGTCTGTGGTCCAGATGCTGTGGATAAGTGACTTGTGGTGTAGTGGTTAAGAGCGGTGGACTCGTAATCTGGGGAACCGGGTTCGCTTCCCCGCTCCTCCACATGCAGCTGCTGGGTGACCTTGGGCTAGTCACACTTCTCTGAAGTCTCTCAGCCCCACTCACCTCACAGAGTGTTTGTTGTGGGGGAAGAAGGGAAAGGAGAATGTTAGCCGCTTTGAGACTCCTTAGGGTAGTGATAAAGTGGGATATCACATCCAAACTCTTCTTCTTCTTTGAGTGCCTGATCTTTAAGGCAGACTTGGACCAGGCAGCATTTCAGGAGGCCTTCAAATAGAGGGCTGTGCTCCATAACACAGGACCCACAGCCAACCCTCTCTTGAAGCCAGGATGAAGGCTGTGTTGTGAACTTCCTCCCCTGGAAGGCTTTTAGAGCATCGCAGGTGTCGAGAGCTCAGGAGGCTGAGTTTGCTCGTAGTTTCCCCTCAGCAGGGGAAAGCGTGGGCAGGGAAATGGAGGCACCGTCTTTCTCCTCTGCCCGCGTCATGGTCACCGTCTCCAGGCCTCCCCAGCAAATCTGTTGACACGGCAGAATTTGGTGTCCCTGGAGATGCAACTGGGCAAAGGGCAGGCTGAGTGCCTGCAGCTGTAAAGCTGAGCTCATGTGTGAAAGGATGAATAAAGAAAAGACCAGCATTTGGGAGAAAGCCAAAGGGAGGAGAAAAAGGGGGAGGGGGCTCTGGCTGGGAATAGAGAGCAGAAGAAATTTGATTCAGCTCGCATTTCAAGGTGAACCCACCTAATTTGCACGTTCCAGAAAGGTATGTGAACCAGAACGCAGCCCATCTTAAAAATGTGCACTTCTCTGAGTCTTACAATGCACAATAATTTTTTTGTTGGCATCCATCTATCTCGAAAGACAATGGAGTGTGCCTCCGGGGGTGAAGTCGAACTTTGCATTTACAGCACCAAAGTGACTTCCCTGGCACACAAGCAATGGGCAGCATGCATGGAGGTCCTGGGCTCCCGTTTGGCCTTGCTGATGTCGTCCAAAGGAAAGCAGAACAATACCTTTGGTAGCAGCTTGGCTGCAGGAGTTGCCAGAATGAGGCGTACAGGGAGTCAGTCAACCATCTTAGGCACTCCACTCTGGATTTGTGTAGGGTTTACTCCTGGGCCTTTTCTTCTCCCAAAGATGTCCTGCAAGGTTGAGCCCCATTGGCTACCCTCACCTAGTTTGGCCAGCCAGTCAAAGCTGTCTCCCAGGGTGTGGCCACTGTCACATGCTGACAGCTTCTAGGAGCCACAAGTGAGAGCTAAGTCCTGGGTGGGGTGACCAAAGTTGGACAAACTACCCCAGGAGGAGCACGGCATGTCACCCACCAGAGGTACTACCCCTCCCCTAACACCCCATACACCCCACGGCCCAGTATAAATCTATCACTATTATTGCGTAAGCGGCTTGTTGCAGAATACACTCACTAAAAACGGATGGAGGGCAGAATCTGGAGAGGACATAGGCTCCCTTTCATAGAAGCTGCTAGTCCCTTTCATTGTGCTACCCCAGAGGCCATGAGTCGCTACCCTCAAATATGGAAGCTTTGAGCTACCTTTAGTGTTGCAGCTGGCGTTCTGCAGCGTCCTTTGGGTTAGTGGGGAGGGGGAGATGCTCTGAGGCTTTTTGTGTGTATTTTTTTTTTTCTGGGACTCCTCGCCTGCCGTGCAAACTCTCTAACTTTCCTAGCAACCTCGTGCCCTTTCCCACCGTCCAGCCTCCTGGAATTTCTTCTCCTTGGCCTCCATGCAGACAAAGGCTTTGTCCAGAGCGCTCCTCCAAAGACACACACACACACACACACACAGCCCTGTGATGCGCTCGGCAGTAAATATTTCCAGATCAAAAGCCAGAGGCCAGCGCCGAGATGCCAAAAAAGCAAATCCCAAATAAGAAGAATGATTTTGTTTGGGGCCTGAAACATCCTCGAGGGAAGAAAGTCGGGAGGATTATGGGGATAAGATATTTTTTTAAAAAAGAAGAAGATGTGCCGGGCAAATGCTGCAGCACGCAAGATGTCAGATAAATCCCCATCATGGATTTCCCTGTCCAGGAGGAACTGATAGAACAGGTGCAAGGAGACAGACTCTTTCGAGAGATTTTTTTCCCCCCAGGAGGACTTCAGCTACAAGACAAATGGGTTTGGCTCTTGGCTGTCTTGCTAAATAGATGGGCCTGAGATGCCAGGGGCTGTAGGCCCTAGTGGATAAGAGGAGAGGGGGTTGGCTAGGAAGAATATATGCCTCGCTCATGAGTTAGGACAGGTGTGTCTCACTCTTTGATCCCACAGAGGATGAGGAAAGGACACACATTCACCACTGAAAGGTCCCCTTGGCTGTGGGCATCTGCCCCATGAATCGGCGCAGAAAAATGGCAGATTCCAACTTTCTAAGAATTTCAACTTTTTAAAATGCACACACACGCACACACACACACACATTCTTAGGGTTGCAAAAGGAGATGTGGACCTGTGCAGGGAACACCTAGCAAAACCCTAGAAGCCAGAAAAGGGTTAAAGAGGATTTCCATCATGGCTCCCTGATCCCCTCCCTGACCAACCCCACCGTACTTAACAGAAACAGGGGAACAGGCAAGGCCAGCTCAAGACATTTTGCTGCCTAAAGGACCTTATAGTCATTTCACTGAGCCACCCTCTTTCCCAGGACTGGCCCTAACGTTAGGCAGAGAGAGAGAGAGAGAGAGAGAGGAAGGAAGGAAGGAAGGAAGGAAGGAAGGAAGGAAGGAAGGAAGGAAGGAAGGAAGGAAAAGAAAGAAAGAAAGAAAGAAAGAAAGAAAGAAAGAAAGAAAGAAAGAAAGAAAGAAAGTTTTGCTGCACTGCCTAATAAGCACACCTGTCCATTTAAAAGTTCTCGTAAGAAGAGAAAAGTAACTAAGAGCCAGACCCACCATTCCATCTGTGGGAGAAATGTAGATGAGAAACAACCATGTCCAAAATAAATAAAGATCCACACCATTTGCAGCAAGGCACAACAAGAAAAGAGCTCTGGTAGATATCTGGTAACCCCACCTCTGGATCTTTTCCAGCAACCCTCCAGATGACCTGTTTAGTGAGCATCCATCCCGCTTTGCTTCCACAAAACATACACCCAGGTTAGACTATATCCAGTCTTCATGGCGCATCACTTCTGATTTATTTACAGGGTGGTTACATGACAACGAGCATTCATCTTGAATTCACCCTGATTTGCTTGGGTGGTGACAATGCATCTTCTTCTTAATTGTTTGTTCATCCCACAATTTTCATTCCTTTTCACCATCACTTTCCTCACTGCAAAAAGCCTGGTGTCAAGTGGGTTTGTTGCACCAGGGTAGCAGAGCACATTAGTCCACTTTAGTTTCAGAAACCTAAATTTCCAGGATGTGCTTGAATCGCTCCTACAAAAAACTGAAGGGTTGAAGTTGCTGCCTATCGGCTGATCAGCAATGACTTCCCACCTGCTTTCTGCAGGGTTGGCTATGCTATTGGGTACCGCTAGGCAAGCTCCACAGTACATACAGCCAGTCCCCGCAGGTGTGCTCTCAGTACCAGTCAGCTGATGGGTAGTGACAGCAAGCCTCACTTGCCAATGGACAGTCAGTAGCACACCTTGAGGCAGCTCTTGGGCATGGGTTTGGGGGGTGACCTCCTGGGCCAAACTGGGACCCATGCTGGGCCTGCTTAGACTGAAGGGCTAAAGTTCCCCACCTCTGACCTACTCTTGTTGGCAGTGACTCTTCAGGGTTTCAGACAAGAGTCTCTCCCAGTCTTAACGGGGAGATGCTGGGAACTGAGAGATGCTCTGCCACAGCTCTTCCCCATCATAACTAAAAGAGGGAGCCTCTTCCTTCACCCCCTCTCAGTTCTGATCTTGTCCTTGCTCCATCAGTAGGGCATCAGGGCTGGATGTCTGCCCAAGCGCCCTTCCTGCCGTGCCAAAGCAATCCAGCCACGATGGGCAATTGGAATAGAGGACCAGGAAAGCAAAAAGCTGTTCCAGCTGTGACTCCTCCGACCCTTTCTGGAGGCTGCACATCTGGTTTCGATCAATCCTGGGAAACATTTTTTTTCCGTGCGGAGAAGTTTGACATTTTTGAACTTAAAAGGGGTGTGTTTGTGCTTGTGGAGGGGGCAGCATGGGGGTGCAGATTGGAGCTGCCTGTGACAGGGAGAGGAAAGCCCTATCAAGCCAGATAAGCCCTCTCTGGGGAGAGCTTGAAGTAAACAAGAGACAAGGAGAGGCCCAGTCAACATTTGGGTTTTTAAAAGAAGTGAGAGAGACAAAACCAGCAACGCTGTTGTGTTTCATGCATAGTGGATAAAGATGGCTCTCAAACATTTGTAGTAACATTTTACCAAACATTTTAGCAACTTAGGTGTGAACAGCTGAGGTAGGTTGCAGAGTATGCAAGCTTCCGGGTTCTACTGCATCCATCATCAGGCAAACTAATGGGAGATTCTCCTCCCTTTCCCTTCCACTTGATGAAAGATGTTTTGACATCATTCCAGAGCTTCCTTCCTCCTCCACAGATATGTGCAATGGAATAACAGAATGATGATGGTGGTGGTGATAACTAAGACATCATGATAAAACCGGCACATTTCAAAGGCAAGGAGCCACAGTGATGAACAGAAAACTGTAAACTATGGGGCACGGTCTCACCCAGCCAGGACCCCCAAAAACAGCTGCAGAGAAATGGGGGATTTGGATCAGGGTCACAGAATGAGGCAGAAGACCCAGCTCTTTGCCGCTGTTAATTTCCTTCAACTTTTGAAGTCGGGGCCATGGCGGAAATCAAGGGTCAAGACATATCAGGGTTTTGGTATGTATTTGAAGGTGTCATCAGGGGGGCAGACAAGATGTCCGTTAGACTAGTGTCCCTCAAGTTGTGGCACTCCAGATGCTGGACTCCAGCTGATTAGCCCCAGCCAGCATGACCAATGGCAAGGGATTATGCGAGTTGTAGTCTAACAACATCTGGAGGGCACCACGTTGGCTAAAGTACTCCAAGTTGCCTTAGGCCTGCAGCAGGTTTTTCCTGGAACCCAGGTTCTTCTCATGGGTATTCCTCCAAGGAGGTCTCCCTGGGGTCCTGGCCAGGTGGGATTGTGCCCCATAGCTTACAGTTTTCTGTTCATCCCTGTGGCTCCTTGCCCTTGAAATGTGCCAGTTGAGACTTGTAGGGCAGACGGCAGGGAGACCAACACTAGGTGGAGCCAGAGCCCAAGACAAGCAAGGCCACACCCATGCCAAACATTTAAAGCCGTATGATGCCACCAGGGCTTCCCCCAAAGAATTATGGGAGCTGTAGTTTGTTAAGGGAGCTGAGAGTTGTAAGGAGACTCCTCTGTTCCCCTCAGAGAGCTACAATTTCCAGAGTTTCTGGGGGATTGTTGCTCTGGGAGGGGAATAAGGGTCTCTCATTTCACTGAACTTGGTCTCTTAGCCATCTCTGCTTTAATCCTGCCTCCCTGGAGCAATGAAGAACATGCTTGTTCCATCTTCTCCCGTACAAGAGCCCTTCTGAGATCTGAAGGCTGCCAATGTATTAGGTTTGGTTTCACAGCCATCTCTTCCTCTCCCCTTTTACCCACAGGTCAAAGTGGCCTCGGCAAATCCACCATGGTGAACACGCTCTTCAAATCCAAGGTCAGCCGGAAACCGACAGGCTCCGGTTACGAGGAATGCATTCCCAAGACCTTGCAGCTGCTCTCTGTCACTCGCGGTGAGGACCCTGGCGGAATTATTATTGTTATTACATTTATGTCGCACCTCACTTCCAAGGAACTCAAGCCAGCATACAAGAATCTCCCCCTTCCCATTTTATCCTCCCAACGACCCTGTGAAGTAGGCTGAGAGTGTGTGACTGGCTCAAGATCACGCAGTGAGCTTCATGGCTGAGTGTGGATTTGAAACCTGGTCTCCCAGTTCCTAGTCCGACACTGTGACCAGTACACCACGCTGCCTCCTCTTTTGCACTTACAGTGTTCTGAGGGAAGAAGAAGAAGAGAAGAGTTTGGATTTGATATCCCGCCTTTCACTCCCTTTAAGGAGTCTCAAAGCGGCTAACATTCTCCTTTCCCTTCCTCCCCCACAACAAACACTCTGTGAGGTGAGTGGGCTGGGACTTCAAGGAAGTGTGACTGGCCCAAGGTCACCCAGCAGCTGCAAGTGGAGGAGCGGAGACGCGAACCCGGTTCCCCAGATTAGCAGACTACCGCTCTTAACCACTACACCACACTGGCTCATCTGCTTCCCCTTCTCTCCTGTACTTGACAGCCACAATCCTAATAAACTCATTATTTACCTAGTGTGGCTCCTTTTGTCCTACTATCAGCCCTCATTCCCATAATTTTTTACCTTTTTTTACACTAGGCTAGTTCACATTTCACACTCCCCCTTCTCTGTCCTCCACTGAGGCAAGCAAGAATTAACTCTCAGGGTTCAAGGACACGCTTCAGCCTAGCAAAATCACTTGGGGGTTTTTTTTTGGGGGGGTGCCAATCAAGACTTGAGGGGTGTGGCTTAGGAGGGGGCGTGGCCTAAGGAGAGCTCTGAGGGCCAGATAGTGTTAGAAACTGAGAGGTGAAAACTAGGAGCTAAATGGCACCTTAAACCAAGTTTATGGGCACAACAACGGAATGTCTAGGTGCGCTTTTTTAAAACAAGAATACAAACTGAAAATGAATGAACTGCAGCTAAAATATTATGTTCATTTTTCACATGGTCTAGTCCTCATCTTAAGCCTGCAAAAGACAAAGCCATACTTCCCCTGCCCACCCCCCTAATATTCTTAAGAGAGTCTCCTCTCCAGTCATCAGAGAGTGGCTGGAAGTGGGGGGGCAGAAAAAGGTCCTCCTTTCCTTCCCGCAGTGGCACTTTTAATCTGAAATCTTAGGCGCAGTACAGTGGCACCTTGGTTTACAAACTTAATCCGTTCTAGAAGTCCATTCTTAAACCAAAGCGTTCTTAAACCAAGGCGTGCTTTCCCATAGCAGCGGGGGACTCAATTTACAAATGGAACACACTCAACAGGAAGCGAAACATGTTCTGCTTCCAAGGCAAAGTTCACAAACCAAAACACCTACTTCCAGGTTTGCAGCATTCTTAATTCAAGTTGTTCATAATCTAAGCTGTTCTTAAACCAAGGTACCACTGTACTGCGCCCAGAGCTCAGATACTGCTTGCGTTAAGGAAACACCTAGAACAATGGGAGTTTTGAATGCTGGGACCAGATGGAAAGGCCTTTGGGCCACATTTGTCTCCTAGCCCTGAGAACCCCATCTCAGTCTTAGAAGCTCTGCTGAGGGGCAGTGTATAAATATTCTGAGTAAAATGCAATGCAATGAATAAATCAATCTTTTAGGGAGAGGCAGTAAAGACAAAGTCATTAATAACATCTTACATTGGATTCCCTGGTAATTTTATTGGGCTAGTTAGATCCACAAATAAAACATAAAGACTTAATGTGGAATTTAATAGCAGCTGCTCACATACTTGTGGTGCAAAATGGGGGGGAGGAGGGAATAGGTCGCCACCAACAGTGAAAGAATGGCTAACAAATATTTGGAAAGCAGATGAGCTGATGGAATTGATTAGCATGAGAGAAGGCAGACAGGGTCACCTGGCTGTTCTGGTGAGATGAATTGCCGTTCTGTTTAAATTCTATGCCTCCTTTGCATCTGTGCATATAAATTAGCACATGTGCATTTCACGCAAACCTGTCTTATTTTGTAACAACAACAACAATAACAAAATTTATTTATACGGTAAACTATAAAAAGCAAAGGACAAGCAGAAAAACGCTCAGGCCAATGTTTTCTGGGCACGGAACAAGTGGAAATTTAGCCGAGCCCAAAGTGTCTGCAGTCAAATTGGACAGGCAAAGCGGGGAAGAATCCTCTCTTATTCCAGGGAGGGAGGGGAAGAGGACATGGGGGGGGGCGCAGTGAATCTCTTAGGAGCTCTATGGAAGCCATGTATGTGAGAGAGACTTCTGTGTTAGAGAAGGCAGGATAAATCCATCAGTTTTGCTCTCTGTTTTTCATATTTCAAATTTTAACTTCAGTTTGCCACATTTTGCGAGAAGGAAGTGGGCGAGCTTCCCTTTGGGATGAGAAGGGCCCCTCAGAGGCAGTGAACTAACACAGTTTCGCTCTGTTTCCCAACAGTTGTTGAAGAGAAAGGTGTGAAGATGAAGCTGACGGTGACAGACACGCCAGGATTTGGGGATCAGATTAACAATCAAAACTGGTATGAGAGAGAACTGATTGCTGCTTCACTTCTCTTTCTTGGGGAAGGGGGCTGCTCACAACACAACCATTAAAAGTGTTTCTGAGGTGTATGTGAAACATCGGTGGGGCTTCTATCTTTTGCCTTTTATAAATTGGGGTTTGCTTCCGGACAAACTGTTTATCAAACATTCTTCCTGATTTGTTTCCAGGGAGATGGGATGCTGTCCACTATTTTTGAGCATTCGTTTAGATTTCTTTGTAATACAGCATTGCCTCAAGCAAGTGTCATCACACACTTTCCAGTGCATCCCCCCCCCCACTTTCCTTAGTGCACAAAGTCCAATTGGGGGGTGCAGATGCACAAGTCTTCCCAATCGACTGGAGCCACACAACCTGAATTTGCCACTGTGTGAGCACAGCACGCCTGATTTCTGAGTAAATGCACAAACCAGAGCCTTCTACTCCAAAACGGTTGCTACAAGGATATGTGCATGTGAAACTTTCTTTTCTTAGGGGTGATTCTGAACCAGGGGTAGGCAACCTAAGGCCCGTGGGCCGGATGCGGCCCAATCGCCTTCTCAATCCGGCCTGCAGACGGTCCGGGAATCAGCATGTTTTTACATGAGTAGAATGTGTGTTTTTATTTAAAATGCATCTCTGGGTTATTTGTGAGGCATAGGAATTCGTTCATTGGTGTGTTTTTTCAAAATATAGTCTGGCCCACCACATGGTCTGATGGACAGTGGACCGGCCCACGGCTGAAAAAGGTCGCTGACCCCTGTTCTGAACAGAGAGGTGATGGCGGAAGGGTGTGCTTAACCCCATTTATACTGCAGTATTTCTGTACTCCAAATTATTCCCCACACCACTGCCTGTTCTCCTTCCTCCAGAGTTCCCAGTCATGGTTTTCCTCTCTCACATGCTAGGAGAGGAGCAACTTGAAGGGAGAATTTCCTCTGAGCATAAGAATCACCCTTTCTCCTTCCCCATAGCTGGGACCCAATCATCGAATATATCAACGACCAGTACGAGCGATACCTGAGAGAAGAGATCCTCATCAACCGCAAACGGAAGATCCCCGACACTCGAGTCCACGCCTGCGTATATTTCGTGCCACCAACGGGCCACTGGTAAGCCCTTCTTGCAGGCAGGGGTAGGGAGGCAAGTACAGGTGATAAGAGTCATCGTTTTCTCCCTGACCTCACCCACTTTATCTATGATGGTGAAGAAGATCTTGCATTAAAGATACTCTTATTTCGTTATCATCAGGCATACTTGGGTGTGTCGGAATGAGAGAGAGAGAGAGAGAGAGAGAGAGAGAGAGAGCGCAGAAATAAGTAGTCTAGTAAAACAGCTGGTGGAAAGGATAAAGAAACTTTTTTAAAAAATAATAATTTATTTTTCATTCATAAAAATCCAATGGAGGCCACATGAATACAATACCAAATCATAATACAATCAAAAAAGCCAATTAATCAGTTCAGAATTCAATATTTTTGAATGACTTCCTGTGTTCCGGCTATCAGGAGTTGATGTTATTCCTTAAAGATAAAGAAATTTAAGTCTTAGTACTCGTAGCAAGCAACCACAAGCTTGCATGTAGCCGTCATGGAGTCAAGAGGTTAATAAAAGGATGGCCCATGGCAAGAATATGAAAAGCCTGAGAGAAAATCCACAGACAAAGTTACTCAGGAAGGAATCAACCAGGGAAGAGTAGGCTGCCTTTCTGTCTATCACCCCCACCCTCCATCGGTTCAGGTAACATATTGCAAGTGTTGTCACTTTGCTTGCAACAGAGCTTAAGGCCAGGACTGGGATCCTGTGGCCCTCCAGAGGTTGTGGGAGCCTGTCTCCAGCGATGCTGGCTGGGGCTGTTGGGCATTTGCAAGGCCACAGGTTCCCCATTTCCCCCCTGAGTCGAGGAAAAAAACAGTGTAGACACTATGAATTCTGCTCTTGGAAATTTATATTAGGCCCCACCCTGCCCCTTGGTGTGTCTGGTTTGAAAGCCTATGCTTTTTCTACTTTCATTCTGTAAGTTGCTTTGAGACCCCTTGGTGCAAAAAAAATAATAATGCAGGAAATATAATAAATAATCATAATAATGTCCATCAGCTGAGCCTGCGGGCATCACAGAGAAGCACACCGGGGCTGACTTGGGCATACCTTCGTACCCGCCAGGAATGCCTGTCACTTTCAGTTAAAACAAACTCATAAAAATGTCTGCCAGGCTCCTTGTCCCCCATCCCCTCCTCTCCCTCCGTGTGTGGGTACCGTTGGCCCCATCGCTCCTTTCCCAACATCTGTCCCACAGCTGCTTCCTCGCCATTCTCCCTGCTCCACCCAGCATAGGTGGGAGGAGAAAGTTGCGTTGAGGCCAAGAATCCACTGGCTTCTGAGAGAGGAGTGGGCTGCTGGAGGGTGGGGCAGGGAGTGCTCTCCGTCACTGAGGGAGGTGAGAACTCTCCCAGGACACCTTGCTCTTGCAGTGGGCGTGGTCTGAGAGCCGTGGTGTAGTGGCAAATCCAGAAGGACGTGTACTTCTGATAGTCACAGCCATACCCCCTCACAGCATTCCCCTTCTAAGATTATCTAATAATTCCATAATTATTAAATAATAGCAAAGAGGGATGCATTGCAACAATCAGTGCTGATCTCCGTGTGTTGCTGAAATATACTTGGAGTCGAGAGTGGATTTCACGCTCTTTATTCAGCTCATAGTGGTGAGGAGGAATGGAAGTTCCCCCAGAATGTCTGCTTTATATACATTATTTACACAATGATCCCCACGTGATTGACTAATTCCGGGATTCACCTGTAGGCCAAATCAGACTGCTGCATTCTGGACCCTATTATACTAGGACCAATCAGACTGCTGCATTCTGAATCCTATTGTTCTAGGACCAATCAGACTGCTGCATTCTGAATCCTATTGTTCTAGGACCAATCAGACTGCTGCCTTTTGGATCCTATTCAACTCAGTACATAAGAGTTGCCTTTCAGCACCTGCATGGGCAAATGATTTGGAGTGCTCCGATATGTTCTTTCGGCGCGACTTTGGAAGTTCCATTGTATGAAACAGAACATGCGCACTGTGCTCTTGAATCTGAAGCACCCCTTGTGTTTTCAGTGTTCCTGTTTTCAGTGCTTGGCTTTGGAGCATACAGAACAACTCCTTGGCGTTCTTCCTGACACCTTCTCCAGAGTGACCCTAGGAGCCAATCCTCTGTGACCGACTCAACTCGTTTCACTCTGATTGGCTCTCATCAGCACAAAGGTTGACATGACTTCTTCTCAGTGGCTTAAAAAAAGAAGCCCCCCCTTTCATGCTGATTGGGCAGCTCTGGGGCACTGGAGACAGGGATCCTACTACAAAAATCGTAATGGGTCTTGAGCTTCCCATGACTGCATCACTGGCTGGGAGGCAAAATAAATGGCCATCCCTCCCAGCACAGCCCCACTGAACGCCCTGCAGCCAGCTGCCCCCACACTCCAAAGCTTATGTTTTCTCTAGAGGTGATTCCAATGGGAAGTTGTGCCTTCTCTGTGCTGTGGGCCCCTTGCTTCTGTCAGGATGTGGCTTCCTGCCAAAAGCAGGGTTTGCAAGCGCCATGGTGAGGTGATCAGCAGTATCCACAGATCCCCACGCAGTTTGATTTCAAACCATGCAGGAGGAAGAAAAGGGGGAAAGAGGTGGAGGGGGGGTGAGATAGGGGGGTGAGGTCGGGTGGCAATGTTTCTATTTTACTTACTATATGTAGGGTTTGGTTTGGTGTCAGCGTTGCTTGTGCAGGTTCTTTGCAGTTCACTTGTGTTCCTTCGGTGCTGAGAAAGGTTGGGGTTGGCCTAGGGTGTGGTTGTTCATTTGTGGTTGGCTGTGTCAACAAATGAAACTGATTTGTAAAAATGTTACATGGGGAGGGAATACGAGAGAGAGACATTGCACACACTTTTGTAAATCAAGAAAATCTTTAATAAAATAAAATAAACCATGCAGGAGGAAGGAAAAACACTTGATGACATCAGGCGATTGACAGGTGGGTGGCTACCTACCGGAGGGACCTGCAGGGTTCGAGGAGGGGAGGGACCAGCCCAGTAGCCAGATCCAGTTCCTCATCCCTGCCCTGCGGAGGCTGGACTGTTTCCTAATGCCCCACCAACCTCAGTCTGCCCTCAGCCAGCCCTCACCTCCCTTCCTGCTCATTTACAGCCTTGGCTGCTTCCTTTCTCAGTCTTGGTTGTTGCCCTTGTAGAGTTCATCAGGAGTGACGTGAACAGGGGCCAAACTAGAATTAGTTAGCTCCACCTGTCATTGGCTCTGGCTGCACCTATTGTTGGGCTCCTTGCCTTCCACGCTCCCAATTCCAAAGGCCCCCCTGCCATCCCTTGCCTTAGACCGCAAGAGCCCAGGGCACATGACTCCAAACGGCATCTCTGGCTTCCCCCAGAGAATCCTGGGAACTGTAGTTTCCCAGGATATGGAGCATATTCCCCTTCACCCCACGGGGCGCCGACTTATAAAAAATATTGGGGGGGCCCATACCGGGGTCCTGCCCCGGGAAGTTTTCTAAGCGAATGATCAACGGGAGGTTGTCTCGCCTCGGCTTTCCCCCTTCTGGCCAGCGGCGGCGGATTCTCCCTTCCCGAGAAAGGGGGCGGCGCTGGCGGGCCGGGCGGGGGCGCCAGGGGGGCGCCGGGGGCCGCGATGGTGGCGGAGCGCGAGAGGCGGCGGCGCAGCGAGGGCCGGGCGGCAGCATCCCGGGCGGAGGCCGCGGAGGAGCGAGGCGAGGGCAGGCAGCCCCCGACCCCCGAGGGGACTCCCGCCCGCCCGGCCGCGGCGCGGCTCCCCGGGCAGCCTAGATCTCGCCGCCGCTTCGCCGCCTCCGCCCGCTTTCGCGGGGAAGCAGTGCGCGAAACTAATAATTTTCTTAAATTATTGGGGGGCAGAGCCCCCCAAACGAATTTTTGAGGGGGCTCGGGCCCCCTCAGGCCCCATGGAGTCGGCGCCTATGTCACCCCAGGCTGCAAAATGAGCCAGTGGAAGTGAAGTGGTTAGGGTGTCAGGCTAGGACCTGGGAGGAGATCACGGTTCAAATGCAATATAAATGCAATAAATATATCAATATATATAAATGCAGTACATGCATTTATATCGGATATAAATGCAGTCAATATGGCAATAGAATGTAACGTCTTGAGCTGGCCCTTTGCATCACTGCTGCAAGAGACTTCCTGTATTTCTCCCATCAGGTTGCGCCCCTTGGATCTGGAGTTCATGAGGCGGCTCAGCAAGATCACCAACGTTGTGCCTGTGATCGCCAAGGCCGACACTCTGACCTTAGAGGAACGCGCAGAGTTCAAACGGAGGGTAAGAAGAGCCTTGGTGGAAGCAGGAGGCAGTGGCAAAGTTTCCTCAAATTTGGGTTGCAATCCTAGCCCTGTATACCTGGGAGTAAGCCCCATTGAATCCAATGGGATTTGCTTCTCAGTAGACACAAGGGTGCTTCCAGACCACCTATTTATTGATCATTCATCCTGATTTGCTTGTAGGGAGATAAGAGAGAGCGTTGGCTTTTTAAAGAGTTCCCATTCTGGTCTGTTTGCAGGGTTGTGTCAAAGCAAATGTTATCCCACATTCTTCCCAGGGGAGCTTTCCCTCGCTCTCCTTACTACGCAAAGTCTGACCTTTTTCAGGAAGTGGGTTTGTTGCACAAGACCTCCCAATCAACTGCTAATTGCGCAGCCTGACTTTGCTGTTATGTGATGAATCCTTTCCCCAAAATAGCAATGCTCTGGAAGCACCCACGATTAGAATTGCACTGTTATTTTTTTATTATTTGGTTAGAAAGATCTATAGACAGCTTAATTGCAAAACTGGACTTAAATCCACACTTAACCTTTTGCCCCGCCCTTTCCAGGCACAGTACACGACAATGCTGCAGTCACATTTGTGTGCTTTTGTAAGAGAACACCATGTGAATACTGTACAACCAAGTTGTTGTGTGATACACGTGTTGTGTTACACATACAAGGGTAATCTTTGAAGTGCATGCTTAGTTCAGCAACAGTCGTGTGGGTATATCTCAATTATATTAGTTGTTACGATTGTAATATTCTCAGCAAGTGTGAATATTGTCGTATTTATTATTAACATAAAATCAAGGTCACACTTTGATTTTATATCCTATGTAAAGATTTTTAGCTGGTCCACTCTTGCTGGTGGGGCCAAAAACATTTTTTCATGGCACCCAAGTCCACTCTCGGCAGCCCTTCTCACGGTCTCTGGCAGCCGCCTTCCGATCTGCATGCCAGTCCAGGTAATGTGAAATCATGTTAGTTTGCTTTAAAATGCAGGTGGAACAAAACCCTCAAGTGCCTGTAGCACTCAGCAAGCATCTCTTTGCCCACCTGCACTCTGACATGGTGCAGGCTGGAAGGAGCTCCTGTGCTGTTTGTGCGAAGTGGTGCAAAGTCAAGGCGGAAAGCGGGAGAGAGACCCTGGGACCCTGCAGGCTCCTCATGAGTATCACCACACACTGGGCTTGAATTTGCTTTGCTCACATAACTTTCCTTTGCCCTGGCCACGAAGAAGGTACATTTCCAAGTCAGCAAGGGGGAGTTCTGGTCTCAGTGCCAAAAACTTTTCTCTTTGCAGATTCAGGATGACTTGAAGGCCCACGGAATCCATGTTTACCCCCAAGAGGACTTGGATAGCGACCCCGATGACAGGCTTTTGAACGACAAAATACGGGTAAGTGGTGACAATCTGGAAAGGGGAGAAATTGACTAAGAGTTGCTTTGTGCCTTTTCTCATTGTTGGCACTACAGTCGTACCTTGGAAGTCGAACAGAATCCGTTCCGGAAGTCCATTTGACTTTCAAAATGTTCGAAAATGAAAGCGCGGCTTCTGATTGGCTGCAGGAAGCTCGGCTTCCAAAAATAGTTCGCAAACCAGAACAGTCACTTCCGGGTTTGCAGCGTTCGGGAGCCAAAACGTTCAGGAACTAAGCTGTTTGAAAACCAAGGTACGACTGTATTCTCTCTTATCTCTTTACACACACACACACACACACACACACAGACAGGTGATTTGTTTCTCTTATAATATTGCGTTGGAAGTATTTGTCTTTTCGGAAAACAGTACCCTCTGTTTGAATCAGCATTATGTGCCTTCAAACATAGCCAAATCTGATTGGCTATATAGCATTGTGGCCTACTTCATTTTGCTATGTGATCCCTGATTGACTGGGAATGTCCATAGGCCAAGTCTAGGGAGCAGGGACCTCACTCTTAGATACATTCAGTTTGCTCTCAGTGAAAGCAAAATGTAAAGGACTGTGTGGTATTCTGACACACTCCCTATCAGCCACGCAATCCCTGATTGGCCGGGTCTCATCCAGGATAAAGGCAGTTCAGTAAACAGAAGGAGAGAAACATTGGTTGCCTTGAGGTCTACCAGAGGGCCCAGGCTGTGAAGTGTCCCTCCAAAAGCAAATTAAAAGAAAAGAAATTATTTTTTAAAAAAACATTTTTCAGGATTCCAGTAGGAAATGGAAGTGTGTTTCAATTCAGCTGAAGTTCTGTGTTCTTTAAAAAAAGCTAGTGTTTAGGCATGGTGGTGGTGCTAGCCATGTTGTGCTAATTTATTTATTATTATTTATTTCATTTCACAAAAATTACATATTGTTTAAAAAAAAAACAACTCAAAGATAATGGAACCAACCCATTATCTGCACCATCCACAGTCTGCAAGTACCAGATGTTCACTAACAAGGCAGGGAAGATGGTGTTCTGCTCCTTTAACAGCATCTACACTTTTTTCACTTCACGTGCTGTAATACTAGAGCTTTCCAAGAAAAGTGGGGGGGGGGGAGAGAAACACCCTTGTTCTTCCCTGGACTGGTGCCCCTCTCATTCTCTTAATCAGGAGAAAATCCCCTTTGCAGTGGTGGGAGCCGACAAGGAGCACCAGGTGAACGGGAAGAAAGTCCTGGGCCGCAAGACCAAGTGGGGGATCATCGAAGGTAAACCCTTCTGGGCTGCCCAGGTTGGAGGGGAAGGGCTGTAGTTCAGTGGCAGAGCATCTTATTTTACATGCAGAAGGTCCCAGGTTCAATCCCCAGGCTCTCCAGGTAGGGCTGGGAGGGGCCGCTGCCTGAAATTCTGGAGAGCTGCTCAGCAGGCAACCTAAGGCCCGGGGGCCGGATCTGGCCCAATTGCCTTCTAAATCCGGCCCGTGGACGGTCCAGGAATCAGCGTGTTTTTACATGAGTAGAATGTGTCCTTTTATTTAAAATGCATCTCTGGGTTATTTGTGGGGCATAGGAATTCATTCATTTTTACTTCTATTTTTCAAAATATAGTCTGGCCCCCCACAAGGTCTGAGGGACAGTGGACCGGCCCCCTGCTGAAAAAGTTTGCTGACCCCTGGTATAGACAATACTGAGCTAGGAGGACCAATGTTCTGGCTCAGCATAAGGGCAGCTTCCTATGTTCCTATTTAAATCAGCTCTTTAGTCCAGATCATGAGGACTAGAAACTTACTTTCAAGGAAGGATCATATAGCTCAGTGCCAAAGCATCTGCTTTACCTGCAGAAGGTCCCAGGTGCAATCTCCAGGTAGGGCTGGGGAAGGGAGAGAGAAACCCCCTGCCTGAAACCTTGCAGAGCTGCTTCCAGTCATTGTAAGCAATATACTGAGCTAGACGGCCCAATGCTCTGGCTTGGTATAAGACAGCTTCTGCAGCTTTGGGTCCTCCTGCCAACTGCTCACCCAGGAGAGAGGCATCTGGGGGAGTCTTGCTCTGCTTCCTCTCCAATCTTAGGCGCAGAGTTCAACCTGCAGAGCATGGCTTTCCACTCTCCTCCCCACCACCCCACGGTGCATTCCACACTGACAGCAGCAATCTGCCCCATCCATGGGCCAGGATAGTCCTGCTACTCCCACCTGGGGGGGGAAAGGATGTTGCCCAAAGGAGAGGGAGAGGTGCTTTGGGGGAACAAGAATCAAGCAGGGGAAGTTTTTTTCTGCCTTTGAGCTGTATTGTCAGAGTGCCGTGCTCTCGTGCACGGAAGCACCCCTGTTTCCCAGGGACATCCAGAATCCTCGCCCCAAATTAATCTTGTTTGGCACATTGAAATAAATGCTTGCGTGAGCTGCCTGTAATAGCGCTAGATCCTGTTGACTGGCTTGCAATAGTGTGATCTGACTCAAATGCCTCACCCCCAAAACTGTTCTAGCTGACAGATTCTGCCCCAGTGGAAGTTTTCCAAACCATCTTCGAGGGCAGCCCCATGGAGAATGCATTGCAACCCACAGGGACATAGGAAGCTCCCTTATAGTACCAAGTCAAGCCATTGGTCTATCTCATTCAGTATTGTCAACACTAAGGGCTGACCCAGACCTGCATTTACCCCCTGCTTTCCCCCTGGGATAGGAACGCGGGTGGCGCTGTGGGTTAAACCACAGAGCCTAGGACTTGCTGATCAGAAGGTCGGTGGTTCGAATCCCCGCGATGGGGTGAGCTCCTGTTGCTCGGTCCCTGCTCCTGCCAACCTAGCAGCTCGAAAGCACATCAAAGTGCAAGTAGATAAATAGGCACCACTCCGGTGGGAAGGTAAACAGTGTTTCCGTGCGCTGCTCTGGTTTGCCAGAAGCGGCTTAGTCATGCTGGCCACATGACCCGGAAGCTGTACGCCGGCTCCCTCGGCCAATAAAGCGAGATGAGTGCCACAACCCCAGAGTCGGCCACGACTGGACCTAATGGTCAGGGGTCCATTTTATTTTTCTCCTGGGAAGCCAATCATTACTGCTGAATTGGAGCAAATGTCAGCCAGGTTTTCTCCAGATTGATGTTTGCTCTGATTTAGCGCTAAAGAGCAGGTTTTCTGGGGAGAAGCAGTGGGGTGAAAGCAAAAATGGTTGGATTCGTGATTTCTAGGCATGAGTCACACAGAAGTGTGGACGAGCCCTGAGTGGCAGCAGTTCACCAGAATTTCTCCAGAGTCTTTCCCGTTCCTACCTGGTGGCCCCAAGGAGTGAGATCTCTCTACCTAGAGATCCAAGGTGAAAAGCCACAGCTCAGTGACAGAACATCTGGCTTGCACAAAAGAAAGTGTTGGGTTCAGTTCCCAGCATCTCCAGGTAGGGCTAGGAATGCTCTCAGTCTGAAATCCCAGAACGCCCCTGCCAGTCCGTGGGGACAACACTGAGCTAGATGGAGTCTTGCTCTAAGGCAGCTTCCTATGCCTTGGAGGGCTCCTGCCTTGAAGAGTTGCACAGAGTGCGAGAATTCTGGGGAAGGGCCATAGCTCACTGGTAGAGCATCTGCCTTGCACACAGAAGGTCTCAGGTTCAATCCCCGGCAACTCCAGGTAGGGCTGGGAATGTCCCCTGCCTGAAACCCTGGGAAGATGCTTCCAGTCAGTGTAGACAGTATAGACAGAGAGAGGCCAATTGGTCTGATCCTGTATAGGTTCCTGTGACCATGCCAAGCATGTCATCTGCCACTGAGTTGCAGACATGTTGTCGGTTCACCAGGTTGAATTTTGATGTTGCTTCACCAGGTTTAGTTTTAACTTGCTGAAAGTTGCAGTTGTGGCTTCTACACTGCAAGCCTCATCATTTGGGTGGTGGCATCAGAGCTCTGCTGATTTCCCAGTGTGTCACTAGTGGGGATCGGGGCTCAGGGATTGGCCCAGCTCTGCTGTGGCTTGCAGGAGTATCTTAAGGGCTAAATGAAGTTCCTGACCAGAACTGCCTTCATACTTTCCAGCTGTCTCTCCCCATCCCTCCACACCACCACAAACACTCTCTACTGGCTTGTATTTAGAAATCTGCTGCCCTCTGGTGTTCAGCAGTCTCCTTGCTGGCGTACCTCTAGGGAGCCTGGACCTTCCAAAGCATGGATAGGCAAACTAAGGCCTGGGGGCCGGATCCAGCCCAATCGCCTTCTAAATCCGGCCTGCAGACGGTCCGGGAATCAGCGAGTTTTTACATGAGTAGAATGTGCCCTTTTATTTAAAATGCATCTCTGGGTTATTTGTGGGGCCTGCCTGGTGTTTTTACATGAGTAGAATGTGACCTTTTATTGAAAATGCATCTCTGAGTTATTTGTGGGGCCTGTCTGGTGTTTTTACATGAGTAGAATGTGACCTTTTATTTAAAATGCATCTCTGGGTTCTTTGTGGGGCATAGGAATTTGTTCATATTTTTTTTTCAAAATATAGCCTGGCCCCCCACAAGGGCTGAGGGACAGTGGACCGGCCCCCTGCTGAGAATGTTTTGCTGACCCCTGTTCCAAAGCATTGCATTATGATCTCCCGATTAGACCCGGCTCACCACAGATCAGCTGGGGAGCTGGGGGCGATGCTGAAAGCGAGAGAGAGGGATACTTTGTCTGATCCAGCAGGGCTCTTCTTAGCTCATGTTCCTGCAACCCAGCTGTCTTGCACTACAACTCCCATCAGCCCATGCTTTTTGGGTCTCATGGGAGTTGTACTCCAAAATGGACGTGCTGGCTGGGAATGATGGGAGTTGTAGGCCACAAACATCTGGAGCCCCCTGGTTATGGAAGTCTGCTATAAGATGGCATGGAACTGCTCTTTCAAGCTTTGGGTGGGGCGAGCAACAGAGACACCTGGCTCAGTCCATCCTTGTCCCCTCCTGACACATTTGCCTCGCTGTCACTGAAAATGTTCAGCTGTCATCTGTGCTTTCCTTTCAGTGGAAAACCCGGCCCACTGTGAGTTTCCTCTGCTGCGGGACCTCCTCATCCGGTGAGTTGTGGGAGTTGGAAGTCTTGCTACTCTTTTTACTTTGAAGGAAGGGCTCCCTGTTGAAGCTTTTGAGCATGACTGTCTGACAGGGCAGTGGGGGGTGAAATATGTAAATAAAACCAGCAGTTTTAAATATGTATACAGTCAAACCTCGGTTCCTGAACGGCTCCATTTTGGAATGTTTCGGCTCTTGAACACTGAAACCCTGGAAGTAAATGTTCTAGTTTTCAAACATTTTTCAGAAGCCGAACGACTTCCAGGGAGTTTTTTTCTTTTTTTCTCCATTGACTTTGCTGACCGCCCTTTGATCCTTGGTTGTTGAATGTTTTGGAATTCGAATGGTCTTCTGGAATGGATTACGTTCAACAACCGCGGTTTGACTGTACAGTGGTACCTCGGGTTACATACACTTCAGGTTACAGACGCTTCAGGTTACAGACTCCGCTAACCCAGAAATAGTACCTCGGGTTAAGAACTTTGCTTCAGGATGAGAACAGAAATTGTGCTCCGGCGGCGCAGCAGCAGCAGGAGGCCCCATTAGCTAAAGTGGTGCTTCAGGTTAAGAACACTTTCAGGTGAAGAACAGACCTCCGGAACAAATTAAGTACTTAACCTGAGGTACCACTGTATCATAAAACAGCATGGCCTATTAATATACAGGTCAAAGTGTTCATGCCTTGGTATGCTTTCTTCCACAACAACAAAGATTTTAGCAGGACAGCAAAGGTACCTGGCTAATACCAATGGGCAGGGAATTCCAAAGATACAGGTGTCACTGCACCAAAGGATCAGCTCTGCAGATCAAAGGGTTTGAATGGGCATAAAGGTAAAGGTACCCCTGCCCGTACGGGCCAGTCTTGACAGACTCTAGGGTTGTGCGCCCATCTCACTTAAGAGGCCAGGGGCCAGCGCTGTCTGGAGACACTTCCGGGTCACGTGGCCAGCGTGACAAAGCTGCATCTGGCGAGCCAGCGCAGCACACGGAAATGCCGTTTACCTTCCCGCCAGAGCGGTCCCTATTTATCTACTTGCACCCGGGGGTGCTTTCGAACTGCTAGGTTGGCAGGCGCTGGGACCGAGCAACGGGAGCGCACCCCGCCGTGGGGATTCGAACCGCCGACCTTTCGATCGGCAAGTCCTAGGCGCTGAGGCTTTTACCCACAGCGCCACCCGCGTCCCTAATGAATGGGCATAGATGGGGTCAACCAAGATGACCTTGTTTTCTTAGGGCTCTCCGTGAGCCTGGAACAGGAATGTGACCATTGTAGACCTTCTTTGCGGGGTGAGGACAGAGGGTCTGACAGATGGGGAAGGAGGAAGAGGAAGAAGAAGAAGCACCCTCCCCATCCATCTACAGTGGTACCTCAGGTTAAGTACCTAATTCGTTCTGGAGGTCCGTACTTAACCTGAAACTGTTCTTAACCTGAAGCACCACTTTAGCTAATGGGGCCTCCTGCTGCCGCCGCACCGCCGGATCACGATTTCTGTTCTCATCCTGAAGCAAAGTTCTTAACCTGAAGCACTATTTCTGGGTTAGCAAGTCTGTAACCTGAAGCACATGTAACCCGTGGTACCACTGTATCTGGCCAGGAGGGAAAGGGTCATTGGAAACCTTGACCTGCCCGGCGGCTCCAACTTCTCCTGCCTCTTTTCCTCTCCCTTCCCAGATCCCACCTGCAGGACCTCAAGGACATCACCCACAGTGTGCATTACGAGCAGTACCGGGCCCAGCGCCTCAACGAGAACAACCTCCTGGCCACGGGCGGCAAGCAGCTGGCCCTGAGCTGCCTCAACGGAGAGTTGGAGAGCCAACTTTGAGCTGCGGGGACAGCCTGGCCCCTCTTCCTCCTCTCCAGCCTCAACAGACACCCTCCACCAATAGCTTCAGTGGACTGGTTCCCCTCTCCCTCCCCCTGAACCCCCTCTTCCGGGAACAGCTGGAGCAGAGTTCCTGAGCCCCCATCTCCTCTGAGCACAAGAAGCAGCTCTTGACTGGGAAATCTCAACTTCGCTGCCGGGCGCCTTCCTGCCCCTTCCCTTCTGTCTGCCTCCTGCTCAGCCTCACACCTCAGAGCAGAAGGACACTGGGAGGGCGAGAGAGCCCAGCAGCCCACCTTCCACCTCTCCACCCTTGGCATCTCACATGGGACACCGTCCTTTGCCTTGGCTCAGCCTCTGCTTCTGAGCCAAGCAGTGCATGTGGCCCTGGGGAGACCTCCTTGCCGCCTGTTGAGGCTGTCCTTGCCCCCTTCCAGACTCCATTGCTCTGTCAGGCAACCCACTTGTCCCAACAGGCCCTGGCAGAGCCGGCCAATTTCTTTCCTTAACCCTTAAATGACACCACACCCATGTGTGTTTCTTCTATGACATTTTTATCTCCAATATGCTGGCAATACTAGGACAGTTCTCCTTCGTATTCGTTGGTTGGCAGAGGGGGCGTGGGGAGGGGGGAAGGCAGGTAGCAGAGAGCTTTTGAAGGGCCTGTAATGCATGAAAGGTTAAGTCTGCCATCCCTGGGGGCAAAGAGGGAGCCCCATTCCAGACCCTCCCAGGCTGGGGTTCTAGCAACTGTCATAGCCCACATGCGAAAGCAAAGAGAATCTTCTGGAGAAGTTTCCGCCTCCCAGTGTTCCTGCAGGACTTCAGACTGGCTCTTTGGACCACCCTCAGTTTGTAAGAACCAGGGAGGGGGCGTCATTTGAAGGCTACTGCATCAAGCCAGGAGGCCAATAACTGGCTTGTACAATAAAAGCATCTGTGCTGATTGGAGCAAAATTCCCTCTTCCTATCTCTTGCCCCAGAGAAGAGTCTGGGGTAATTAAGAGAAGACCATTTTCCAGCTGGTCCCTTGTTGATGCAGGAGCAGTACAGGAGAACAGCGCCATCTCCTGGAAGGAGGTCAGCCTGCCCAGGCTCATGTTTTCATCCTTCTACTTTTATACTCTTGGGCAGGGGGCCTGTGGGCAGATTGTGCTTCTCCAGTTAATCCATTAAAGAGCAACTGTAGAAGGTTGTTGGGTTCTTTGGTTTTGTTTTGCCTGGTTGCTTTGAGTCCTTCTTGAGGGTGAAGCTGGGGACCTCTCTCGGCTCAGGGCTTGCCTTTTAGTGAGCCGATAGAAGATGTTTGGTTCAAGCAGGGCAGCAGGAGAGATGGCAGATCATGCACACACTTTTTACTATTGGCTGCCGCACAAGGCTGTTCCCCCACCCCAGTTGCTGCTGCTGTCCACTACAGGCCCCCGTGCCTCCTGCCCACTTAAGAAAGAAAGCCAGGTGATGTTGAGTAGCTCAGTTGGTAGAGCATGAGATCTCAGGGTAGTGGGTTTGAGCCCCGTATTCGGCAAAATCTTCCTGCATTGCAGGGGGTTGCGCTAGACTAGAGGACCCTCATGGTCCCTTCAAACTCTACAATGCTATGAATCTCTGGGCACCTGCTGAATGGATTTAAGCTTCAAACAGTTTTTGCTGCCACAGCAAAATTGTAGCAGTGACACAGATGCTTCTACAGGTTCTCGGGTTCGGTCTTGTTCCCTCATGTACTGGAAGGAAATTGTGCTGAGGGGGATTGTGGGGGGTAGAGAGGAGGGGCAGGTGAGGGAAGAAATTGGATTCAGTTTGCATTTAAAGGCAAACACATTTAATTCACACTTTCAGAACACAGCCATCCCTCAGAACTGACGCTTCTCCAAATTTTGCAATGCAGTTTACCAGCCAAGTACTGTGCACAAAAATGCATATTATATACTAAAGTGCATACAAATGCATATATTCCTGAAATTTATTTATTTTTAAATGCATTATACTTGGGCATGTTACTTTGCCAAAATGTGCAGAATAGTCAAAATTTTGCAAAGAGGTATGCTAGGAGAAATTTGCACAAAATGCTGATGAATTTTCATGAGGTTGTTAAATAAAGTTGGGAAATGATGTGCAAATGGGGAGAACTGGACTTAAGACTGGAAGATGAAACTGAGAGAAACCTCAGTGGACATATTTGCCTGTCCCTAGCTGCTGATCCACCATAGGGAGTTGAATGGGGGAGGCTGAAACAACTGGACAGCATTTGCTCAGGCAGCCAAATGTCTCCCTCTCCTGTTGTTCTCTGGTGATAGTGGTGAAAAAAGTAATTTTTTCACTATGGTTCCTGAGGAGTAGGTTCCCATCTCTGTTGGATGCCATTGTGAATCAATATGGCATGCTGAACCTTCTAATTTTGTTGGTTTCTTAGACATCCCAATCACTGCCAGGTACAAGGTTGTTAGGCAATGAAAGAGAGGTCTACTGCAGGGGTCAGCAAGGTTTACCTCGCCTGGGCTGGTTCACTCCAGTGGAGATCTCTCCGTGAGCCAGATCACGCGGGCGCTCTTTCCGGCATCTGCACAGAACACGATTTCCGGTCTGCACAGACACGATTCCGGCGACACAGAAGCAAGTCCCTGTGCCGCGCTGCGCCAGTTTAGCTCAGCGCGCGGGGACTCACCGAGTAGGTGGTTCGGTTCGGGGGCAGCTCATTGGCCGGTTAAACGAGGCTCATGGGCCGCAGGTTGCCGACCCCTGGTCTACTGCTATCAGCACAATAATGGGTGAATGGTGGAGGCAAAACTGAAGGACCACGGACAGCTCCGAGTGAGCCACTTGCTCTGACAATGATTGAGAGTCAACCGAGACCCTTTAAGCCTCTGCCTCCTGCAGGCTCCATCACCTGGTCCATGACTTCAGAGCCTCTGACCTGAAGATGGGCATTCCTCTGTTCCACAGTCTTCCTTCTGCTGCACTGCCTGCACTGGTTGTGAGCATTGGGAAGGATCTGGTTGCTCAGAAAAGGGTGGCTGTGAAGGTCCGGGCTCTGGTCTGACAGGTCCTGGTGGGGTGATATGATCCTCTGGGATTTTCTGTTCAACAGCCTCAGATTCAAGAGTTTCTATTCATCAGCCAGCGCAACTCAACTCCAAATAAAATAAAATCCTCCACTCTGTGGAACTTCTTTCTTGGTGAGTCAGGCAGTCCCATGTTGAAACCCCCACAAATTTCCACCCACATATATCTTTTGGCCTCAGGTTTTTGGCCTGCACTGACTTCCTTCATTCCAAGGACAGATCCCTTGGACATCCACAGCATCTGGGAGACATCCAAAGACCTACCAGTGACTTCAAGGAGCTTGCTCAATACATAACCTAAAAGATTACATCATGCTTTCTGCAAATGTTTTCATTTTGTTTTTCTACAATGGGTGGAGAGGGGGATGTCAGCACAGAGAAAGGGGTGGGGTTGGGGGACAGCCTGAGTTATTATGGCTAGAAATTGTATCCACAGATGCATCCATGAAGGCAAAGCAGCTGGGATTCCTCTCTGAGCCGCAGCTAAGCGTTGGAGTTATGATTTTGCTGGATCTGAGCCAAAAAGAGAGAGATCAGCAAGAAGAAAATGGACCCATTTCCAAGACCTCCTGGAAGGGAGGCGTGTCTATAAAATGAGGTCCCTTTTTATTCAAAGGTACAAACATTTAAAAAACCCATTATTTGCATAGTAAGAAATTTGCTCAGGGTACTGTGTATGGCCGTCTCTTCACACTTTCCCGCAAGTGCCTGTTCTCAGTGGCATTGCCCATCCCACGTCTCGTGGCATGGGGAGGGGTGGTTGGAAGGGGGGGTCACAATTGCTAAGAAGTGTACTTTGCTGTTGTATCCAATGAAATGCGTTGCTACAAACAATAGTTGAGCTATGAGATTAGGTCTTTCTTAAACTTTCATAAACAAATCCACAGAGTGGGTCCCACAGCCAACTTGGAAGCTAAAAGAAGAGGGCAAATGAGGGCAGCCATAAAGGAAGATGGTGTCAACAAGAATCTGTAATCAGAGGAATAATGGCACGATGGGAAACAGAAAAAATAATCCCCTACAGCCCTCCATTTCTACGACTACGTCAAACATGCTGCTTTTGAAGCAAATACAGTGGTACCTCTGGTTACATACGCTTCAGGTTACATACGCTTCAGGTTACAGACTCTGCTATCCCAGAAATAGTACCTTAGGTTAAGAACTTTGCTTCAGGATGAGAACAGAAATCGAGCAGCAGCGGCACAGTGGCAGCAGGAGGTCCCATTAGCTAAAGTGGTGCTTCAGGTTAAGAACGGATCTCCGGAACAAACCCAAGGTACCACTGTATTGAAATTGGGGGATATTTGGCAGCAGGCCATCTTTACCTGGGGGTGCAAGGGATGCTTGGCACCCAAACATTGAATTCTGGGGGCCCATTAAAACGTGTGCCTTTTATATTCATGGTGCAATATTTAAGTGAATAGCCTGCTGCTGCTGCTACTACTATTCTTTTTGTTGTTGTTAAAAAAGTTATAGAGAGGATCCAATAACAGTGTCCCTTAATTATTACTAATTTGGAACTACCTTAATCTTTTCAACTTGTTTTGTTTGCAATTTCAGGGTGTATTTTGAATCATGTAGAATAAACTGGTGCCTTTGTTTTGCTATACCTGGTCTTGGCAATTACAAGTCACCCCATTTGCTCTGAGAACAAAGACGTCTTTGGGGCAGAGTCTGGACCATCCCAGGTGCTGGATTCCCTCCCAGCTTTGATTTGTCCAAAGGCACTTAGTTTTCCTTCCAAAGGCCTTGCAAAAAAACAACACACCTTTGGACTGAGCTGTCCTGGTAAGGGAGGCCTTTGTGTGATGTGTGCTCTTCCTACCTTGGCTCGCAGACCCAGCCAAAGTGCAAATGGTCTCAGCCACAAAGTTGCAGGGGAATATATGGAGCAAGGGAAGTTGGTGGCACCAAAGACTACAAAGATTTTAGGAACTGCCATTAAAATAAGGGTCCTGGTGGTGCTCCCTACATTTTAAATAGTCTCATTCTTTTTTTTCCCCTTGTACTGCTTAGCTGCATTTGTAGCATGTTTGTACTTTGTACACACTTTGCCAAGACTCGTGGCTTGTGCAAATTAAAACCTATCTTATCAGTGGAGCAATATATGGGGAACAAGAAGTTGATCTTGTCCCGTGAGACGGCAATGGGCACAACAGAAGTGTCAATTGTGCCTCTTTAGCAGAGATTGTCTCTGTTTTATGTTAACAATATCTCATGGAAATCAATGGCCCTATTTTGCATGTTTTGGGTGTGGTGTTCCTAAATAACTGCACGTTCAGATAATGCATTTGAGTTTCATCTGTTTTGCAATAAGCAAGCCCAGATCCAGTATATGAGATTAAATATTCCACTAAACCAGGGCTGGCGGGGCCTGTAGCCCTCCAGATATTGTTGGACTCCAACCTGGATGCAGAAAAGAATGAAAAAAGCCACTGTGCATGAAATGTTTCTCACAGAAGCACAGCTATTGTTCCATTTTATTTTATTTTATGCAATTTTGCAATAATGCATCTGTATGATGAAAGTGAACATAAGCATGCACACACTAGTGCATTATGTTAACTCTAGCAAACCTGATTGATGAGAATCTTGCAGACCTGCAAAGCCCAACATATATCCCCATTTTCAAAGTTCCTGAATTTATTACATTTTTTTCCCTAGAATGTGCTTCTAATCAAATTTCAAAAGTGCCCAAAGGTGTGTCTATCACTCCAGTGCTTTTGCCTTATTGACTAGAAGGCAGAAGCAGGTATACTTATTGTGGATCAGAACATCTGGATGCTTTTTCCTTACATCTCCATTGATTAGAAACCTACCCTGAGCCTCCACTGTAACAACAACAAAAATCCCATAGTGTTAGGTGTGGATTGTTCCCAGTTTCACCTGCAGAAATCCCTTGTTACCTGTAGTCCTGGGGTGGGGGCAGGTAAACCCAGTGCTATTTTTCTAGACCATAACTCACCATGAATTCCTCTCTCGTTTTCTTATAATGGCAATGGCGCCCACCTGAGAGGTGCCGGAACTGAGTTCCGTCTTTAAAAAAAGCCCTGGGTAAAGCACACAACCAGCTACAAAATGAGGGCTTGGACATGGTTACTTTTTAATCCTCTGTCATTAATCATCCACCTTCCTGAACAGGTTTCCTGCTCTGAGCCAGAAAAGTATAAAATCTAGGGCTCAGAAATCCAGCCGCTCTCCCTCCCCCTCCTGGCCTGCCCTGGGGCTTTCTCTTAGCCTGACACACCCTATGATGCCATCATCTTCCAGGAACTGCTTTCTGCCTTGAGAGACAGCTTTTGTTTTTGTGTCATTGTTTTCATTTTTTAAAAAGTTACGTAGACGCGACATTGCAGGAATAATGCTGCGGCTGTTCTTCTAGGGCTTCTCAGCTTCTCCCTCAGATTTCAGCAGAGACCTTCCGCACCGCTTTCACTCGGGAGCTGCAAGACTCAGGTTGTTTTGCCCGTTGCACCGCCAGGTTCCCTCCCCCTGGAAGGAGGGATAGCCAAGCCCATCCACTCCAGCTGGGCGTTCCTGCTCCTCGAGGCGGCACCCAGACTTGGTGCCACACGCACACACCCGCTGCGCTCCGTCACCAGCTTTGCAGCCTTGCCCCCACGCCGAGCAAAGCTCTTTCTTTCTGCCGTCTCCTTGGCCGTGTGTCAACACGCTTGGTGGGCCAGTTCCTCTGCGTCGGGGGCGCCATGCCGACACTCAATGCCAGGTCGCTGATCTCTCCGCTGGGGATTGTCCGGATATTTGAGATCTTCTTCTCTTGCACGGCCTTCAGCTTGGTGTCTGTCCACAGGAACTATGCTGGCTCTGAAGGCGCCTGGTCCATGTTTACCTGGTGCTTCTGTTTCAGCCTCTCTGTCTTCGTTGTGGTCGTGGAGTTCATCGGCGTGGCCCAGTCGCTGCCTCTGTCCTGGCAGGACTTCACCTCTGCCTTCTCCATGTTGGCTGCTCTCATGATCTTCACCACCTCCATCCTGTACCCGTCGGTCTTCATCCCGGACCGGTGCACCGGTGACTGCAGCTACGAAGGGATCGCAACTGCCGCGTCTTGCCTCTGCTTCATCTCCTACGCCATCGAAGTGAGACTGACCCAGGCCAAAGTCGGAGAAGTCAGCACCTTCCTGGCCACCATCCCAGGCCTCCTGAAAGTCTTTGAGACCTACCTGGCTTGCCTCATCTTCTCCTTGGTGGCCAGCTACCAAATCTATGCAGAGAAGCCCGGCCTGCAGTGGTGCCTGGCCGTCTACTGCATCTGCTTCATCGTCACGTTGCTCATTGTCATCCTCACCATCGGCCGTTGCCTTGCCACCCTGCCCATCCCCTTGGAGAAATCTCTGGTGGGCTTCAACAGCTTGGCTGTGCTCCTGTACCTCACGGCGGCCGTTGTATGGCCCATATATGCCTTCGAGGGTTCCTCTAGGCCTTCGACATGTTTCAGGACTAACCCGCAGTGTATCAAATGGAACAATAAGCTCGGGGTGACCTTTCTGACCATCTTCAACCTCATTGCCTACATTGTGGACCTCGTCTTCTCCACCAAAATGGTTTTCTTTACCACACCAGCTTAAGCTTAAGGACCGAAACCACTTAGGAATGTCAATGGCGTTCATAATGTGTAAGACAGAGAGGCCACCCCAAGACTTTGCCCGGATTCTTTTATTGGGTGGTGTTTTGTTTGTTCATCTCTTTTTAATACTAGTTTTCATTTTAGAACTATTCCATGCATGGATTGAACCTGTCCTGCCGAACCCTGCTTCCTGAGGGAGCAGACGCCACCAGCACATCATTTCATATGTTTTATATGCAGCTATTAGAAATACCCTGCCAAGTCTTGCTGAGAGTTTCTCCGTGGAAAGAGAAAGGGTTTGCAAAAGCCCGGTCAGTGATTCTGTATCAGCTGCTGCTTCCCCCCTACCCCCCCCCCCCAATAAGGCAGCTATCTGGTAAGAGGAAGGGAGGTGTTTGCAGGAACGGGAAGAAGAACTTGGGCATGAAAAAACTGAGAAGGGCACCGGGTGCAGAATCCTATCACAGCTGAATCTGGCACCTTGGCAAGAGGAACTAATATTTCACCTTTGTACGAAGGTGGTGATGCATATGATACTATTTGCACAAACACAGCTTACTTTACCTCTTCCTGCAACACACACATATCCGGCGTCTAAGAACAAAGGCTGTATGTGTTTTTCTTCCAAAACTAATGTTTTTTCCTCCCAATTGATTATTCAAAATTAATTTGATTAATCTACCAAGCCTTCCTTAATTGCTGGGGGTGAGGCAACAGAGCTCTTATTCAACCATTCCTTGTCTCCCAGGATTTTAGCTAAAAAAATAATAAAATCTATGGCCTTTTGAACTGGGGAGAGGTATTGTTTTGTTTGTTATTATGTTATGTATTTTTATGTTTTTATACTGCAAACAGCCCTGTTAATAACAGGCACAGTCAGCCAAAGGATTCTGTATAGTATGAGGGCTGCCAGTGATCCATGATTCTAAATTTACAAGTAAACCATGATCCATGCCAGTTGTGGCAATTAATTTGCATCCCATAGGGGAGCAGAGGTATACCCTGGGTCTTGCTTTAATTGTGCTAAGATGGCCCTCCAGGCCAATGTTGCTCTGAAAAGTGGGTTCAGGACCTCTTTACGTTTAGCTAAGAATGATTTCTCCAGGCAAACATAAAGAGGTCCTGAATCCATTTTTGAGAAAGACGTTGAAAACTTGGCAGAAGTGGGCACACTATCTGGTACCATCCTGTTGCCACTGCTGCACTTCTAGTTTCACCAGTGTTTTGAGAACTTAGACAAAAGCACAGCAAGACAGAGGGAGGAGGGAAGACAAAGGGGCTGCATAGCATAAATGACTTGTTTGTGGCTGGTCAGTTCCTAGGTAGCATTCAGTTGAGAGCTAAGCTGGAGGGAATGTGTCATAACCGACTGCAATTAATCAATAGGCGGACTTTTGCAAAGTTCACTCTAGAGAGCTGCATCCAGGGAGCTTAGCTTTTTCTGTTGTTTTTTTTTATAATATTTTTTATTGCTTTTTTCCAAGGTCAAATACATCATCAATAATTCACCAAAAGCGACTTTACAGAAAAAAAAGAGATTAGAAAAGATAATATTCATATTTTCCAAACAATTTTTCATAATCTACTGAACTTCCCCACATCCTCCACACCCTGCGTTCTTTACAATAAAAAATAACAGCAAATTGTTACCTTGTTTCATGCGTTTTTGTACTTTCATCTAATTATATTTTAGATTTAGGGTACTTGTTGTTGAATCACTTTTTCCCATCATCAATAATAATAATAAAAAAACATTACTCTAAACTTTGGTCTTTTCACGGTCATAACTTAATTTCCAAACATTTTCAAGTTTGATTGCTGAAACTAATTTTCCCAAAACTTAGCAAATTCTCAACATTCATATAACTTATAATGTTTTTGTAAATAGTCCTTATATTTTTTCCAGTCCTCTTCCACTGCCTCTTCTCTCAGATCTCGGATTCTGCCAGTCATTTCGGCCAATTCCATGTAGTCCATCAGTTGCGTATGCCACTCTTCCAGCGTGGGTAACTCCTGTGTCTTCCAATGTTTGGCTATAAGAATTCTTGCTGCTGTAGTTGCATATAAAAAGAAAGTTCTATCCTTCTTTTTTTTTTTTTTTAATCTTTTTATTGAGTTTCCTTTATCATTACACCAACAATAAAAGAGAAAATTTTACAAACAAAAAGAAAGACGAAAGAAAAAAGAGTATACACCGAATACCGAACATACAACAAAACGAAGAAAAATAACGAAGAAAAAAAAGAAAGTTCTATCCTTCTTTAACACTCTCTGGCCTACAATGCCCAGGAGGAAGGCCTCCGGTTTCTTGTGAAAGGTATACTTAAATACCTTTTTCAATTCATTGTAAATCATTTCCCAGAAGGCCTTCACCCTCGGGCATGTCCACCAGAGGTTGAAAGAATGTTCCTTCAGCCTCCTTACATTTCCAACATTTATTATCAGACAGATGATATATCTTTGCAAGTTTGACTGGGGTCATGTACCACCTATATATCATTTTCATAATGTTTTCTTTCAAGGCACTACATGCCGTGAATTTCATACCGGTGGTCCATAACCTTTCCCAGTCTTCAAACATAATGTTGTACCCAATGTCTTGAGCCCATTTTATCATGGCTGATTTGACTATCTCATCTTGAGTGTTCCATTTAAGCAGCAAGTTATACATTCTTGAAAGCACTTTCGTCTTTGGTTCGAGTAATTCTATCTCTAATTTCGATTTTTCCACCTGGAAACCAACTTTTTTATCCTTTTTAAAAGTCTCTTGAATTTGGGCATAGTGTAACCAGTCTCGCACCTTATCTTTTAATTTTTCTAGGCTCTGCAACCTCCAATTGTCTCCAATTTTTTCTATTATCTCACAGTATTTCGCCCAGCCACCCTCCATATTAAGTCTTTTTGAGGCCTTTGCCTCCATTGGTGAAAGCCACCTCGGGGTCTTGTTTTCAAGTAAGTCCTTATATTTAGTCCAGACAATGAATAAAGATTTCCTGACAATATGGTTTTTAAACAATTTATGAACCTTTACCTTGTCGTACCACAAATATGCATGCCATCCAAAAGCATTGTTAAACCCTTCTAGATCTAGGACATCAGTGTTTTCTAATAAGAACCAATCCTTCATCCAGCAGAAGGATGCAGCCTCATAATATAACCTTAAGTCCGGCAGGGCAAATCCCCCTCTTTCTTTTGCGTCTGTTAGTATTTTAAGTTTTATCCGGGGCTTTTTGCCCTGCCAGACAAACTTCGTGATGTCCTTCTGCCACTTTCCAAAACATTCCACTCTGTCCACGATCTGAAGGGTTTGAAACAAGAACAACATCTTTGGCAATACATTCATCTTTACAGCTGCGATTCTTCCCAACAAGGAAAGTTTTAGTCTTGACCAAATTTCTAAATCCTTTTTGATTTCTGACCAACATTTTTCATAGTTATCTTTGAATAAATTCAAATTTTTACCAGACAAATTGACCCCCAGGTATTTCACTTTTTTAACCACACTTAACTCCGTTTCCTTCTGGAACCCATCTATTTCTGAAGATGTCAAATTTTTTGCCAAAACCTTAGTTTTTTGTTTGTTCAACTTGAATCCCGCCACCCGACCAAACTCATGAATTAATTCTAAAACTCTTTTTGTACTAGGTTCTGGCTCCTGTAATGTTAAGACCAAGTCATCTGCAAAAGCTTTCAATTTATATTGTTTCCCTCCGACCTGTATTCCTTCCACCAGCTGGTCCTTCCTGATCAAATTCAGCAGCACCTCCAGGACAGAGATAAATAACAGAGGTGATAAGGGGCACCCCTGTCGTGTCCCTTTTTCAATTTTGAACTCTTCTGTCACCACATTGTTCACTATCAATTTAGCCTTTTGCTCTGAATAGATTGCTTCTATACCATTTTGGAACGCCCTTCCCACTCCCATCCCTTCCAAGTTTCTCTTCATGAATTTCCAAGATATATTGTCGAAGGCCTTCTCTGCATCTATGAAAATTAACACTGCCTTCGTATTCATATTTGTCTGCAGTAACTCCAAAACGTCGATAATATTCCTAGTATTGTCAGACAAATGCCTACCAGGGAGAAAGCCTGCTTGATCTTTATGAATTACTTCATTTAAAACTTTTTTAAATCTACTTGCCAAAATATCAGCAAAAATTTTGTAATCCACGTTCAGAAGTGAGATGGGACGGTAGTTCTTAAGTTGAGTCTTTTCAGATTCCAATTTTGGTATCAAAGTGATGAAAGCTTCTTTCCACGATTCTGGTGCCCCCTTCCCCTCCATAATTAGATTACATACCTCCATTAGTGGCTGGATCAAATAGTCCTTTAATGTCTTATAATACTTGGAGGTAAGTCCATCTGGGCCTGGCGGACTTTTGCAAAGTTCACTCTAGAGAGCTGCATCCAGGGAGCTTAGCTTTTTCTGAACCCTGCTGCAGGTCCAAATTTGAAAGGTGCCCTAACAGTGCTGCATCAAGCCCTTTTATCTATGGCATTTGAATATAGATTAAGGGAAGGGGATCTAGGATGAGAAATTCCTGAGAATGCATGGAACGTAATGCAGTTGAAATGCCCAAGGAAATTGGATCTCGGTGAGATTGCGAGGGACAATGCCTTAAATGGTATACCATCTCTTAAGTTCTGTCACATGAATCCAGCTCAGAGTATGCTCTTTTGGAGAGAGTGCAACCAGGTTGGCATGATGTTCCAGGTGGTCCTGGCCTGTGGTACAGGTGTGGTGGGTTCAAGTGTTTCAGGAGATTGCACCCATTGTTAACTGGATTTATCTGCCCTGACCTCAGTTTAGCCCTTCTCGCAATACTTCTGGAAATTGTGAATGCCTTAATGCAAGTTCTAATCTTGTACTTTATCGCAGCTACCCGGCAAGAGATAGCCCATCTTTGATAATTCTTCACATAGTTCTCCTTGCAGGGATGATGGTCCAAAGTCTGGCCTCTCGTCCTAGTTGAAAAAATTATGCCAAGGAATAAGGTAACGAAAGGTGAAAGCAGGAGGGACCAGGTTACAGGTACATGAGACTTCTTCTTGCCTTTTGTGGTGATCAGAGGGTCGCCGGTTCGAATCCCCGCAACAGGGTGAGCTCCCGTTGCTCGGTCCCTGTTCCTGCCAACCTAGCAGTTCGAAAGCACGTCAAAGTGCAAGTAGATAAATAGGTACCGCTCCAGCAGGAAGGTAAATGGCGTTTCCGTGCGCTGCTCTGGTTCACCAGAAGCGGCTTAGTCATGCTGGCCACATGACCTGGAAGCTGTACACCGGCTCCCTCAGCCAATAAAGCGAGATGAGCGCCGCAACCCCAGAGTCGGCCTTATAATGCAACCACCACCTCTCAATAAAAACTTTCAAGTTACATTTATTACTGAGACACCTCTCCTGCTAAGCAGTCACTGGTGGTCATTGCTTAGTGGATGGATTTAGTGTGCTTTTGAATTTCCCCTTCTAACATGTAGTAAAATGCTATGCACTGCATTGTTATAGCTATGTATTGTATGATGATGTGATGTGTGGATTTGTAAATATATATATTTTTAAACTTAATGGTGCAAATAATTTTACTGAAACTTTCTCTTTCTAAAGGGATGATTTGAATCTGGCACTGGTGCCTGGAAATTATTTAGCCATATGCCCAGTGAGACATTAAAAAGGTTCTCCTTTTGTATACTGCCCTTCATCTGTGGATCTCAGGCTGGTTGTTATCAGGTGATCAGAAAACTGCCTCCATCCAATGGCCTGACTCCATATAGGACCATTTCCCATGCCCAATGTCA